CTCTCATCAGACATCATCCCTATCAGTAATATGATCGTGAAAATAGCTCTTGTTGAACTATGTAAGGGACAAGACAGCGCCCTGGCCTCATTGGAGAAGGATTTTAAGCATGCATATTACATATGGGCAAACCGAAGAGATGGACAGTATGCTGGATACCCAGAAGATGGCTTTGAYAAGTTTAACACACCGAGTATTCTGCGCTGGTACTCGATGGAAGTCAAGAGAGATGACAAATGTAATGTTTGCCAACCTATCGAGACCAATTTAGAGAAGACTTCCTTTTTTGGATGAACTGAATACCTCACAATCAGTGGTCACAATACTATACTAGCGAACTAAATACCTCAAGTATTTCACTGATTTGGCCTCCAAAAACACAACTCTCACACGTATATGCGATCTAGCACTATATATAGAAACGTTGTAAGGAATTTATCGTCGAAAATAGTAGAAAATGTATCATTGACTTATATTATTGAATTTATTCATGAGTAGATCTGTAACTAGAAACTTTATAATATTCAATAAAAATCAATTGAGATTAAAGTAAGATTAAATGATATCATAACGTATTGAGCTTATTTGTTTGACCGGCAATAATTAAAGCAGGCCCTTCAAGTCACCAATTACTTCCAGACATCCATAATAAACAGAAAATTGCTTTATTTACTGAAGTCAAATTCATGATACACACCCTTTTAATATTAATTGTAATTATATATTAATATTATTAAATTATATATTCTATGCTTCATGATAATTAATCCATGGAGTACTGAATACATTTATTTCTTCATGATTATAGGGCACCGGTAAGTAATTCTATTACTGAAATTCGACATTTGAAAAGTAACAGCAAATTTGCATTAATATATAATATAATACTACAACAACCATAAATTAACCGAGGTCAGCCAGCTAATAAAGGAAAGAATGAACTAAAATGAATATCAGTTAACAGTTGCATTTCTACAAAATAGATAAATTAGAAGTCGAATTTTGTGGAGAGAGGGAAACCGGAGAACCCGGAGAAAAACCCTCAAAGCTCAGAAGAGGACTAACGASCAACTCTAYTCACATAMRACGCCAATTCCGGGAATCGACTGGTGAGTCGCATTGCTACGCCAGCCATGCTTACTAATTTTATGCTAAATTATTACAACTATTTGAAACTATATTTAGAATAAAAATATAAATTATTAATTAACAWCAAACTGAGGTAATCAAAGTAAATTTTTCAATAAAGAAATAATGAATTTTGCTGTTGTCAATGAGCTGTTCATTGACATTTCTTCGAATAAAAAAATAATGAAAAATGCACAACAAAATTTGTTATAAGTTATATCAAAAGTATGTACTTAAATGTCTTTTTATAAAGTCTTCAATATAGTCCTGTGATATAGAAGTATTATCATCTCAGTTCTTGCCTTTCTTAGTTTCTTCGCAATAAATTTAACCCAGTCTTTCATCTTCGTGTATTTTAAATTAGCTGTATATTATTCCTAAGTAGCTTTGCCATAGAAATGACAAACTAAAAATGTCCACCWGTTCCCCGACTCTTTGTTGRARCAGCTACTTTCTTGACTRKTTGTGGTCTCACTACTTTTTCTTGTCTTGCTTTATCCACTGCAAGCTCCAGCTTTCCTGTTGATGGGTCAAAGACGAAACCTCTTTTTGTCTTTCCTCTCAACTCGTCTTCAAACTCTTGTCTTGATTTCTGAGCGAGATTTTCTTGCGAACATAACTTGATGTTTTGCTCAAAATTTTTCTCCGGGTAACAGCCCATTTTGAATGAATCCTCTCGATAGTATTAAGCGCGGAATATGAAGAAAATTGGTTGCTTTAAAAGATAAACGTCCTTTAACTGCGTCAATAAAGCTCACCTTGAAAGTCAGCAAAATAACAATTCTGCAAGTCATCACATTTTTTGTAAAGGGAAAATCCCTCCTAATGACGTGATGGATTGGAGCACGCATTAAAAAATGAACGACAAACATCAAAGATTATTGAATAAGTTTTATTTGAACTGTATTAAATTCAAGCTAAATATATTACTGAAGATCGATTCTACGTGATTTACTTAGGGTCAGCCTTTAAAAGTTCCCAATTCTGGCATGACAACGTCCGATCTTTCCTTTCCCGCCATGTTACTTGGGTCCAGAATCTTGCTTAAATGCTAAGGAGTTCAGTTCTGCTCTGCTAATCAGTATAGTGTAMACCATATACTTGTATAWGTTTTGTGGCTAGTGGGTGATTTCTTCGTTGTTTGCTTCAATSRGTGTTAAAATGATATAAARAAGAAACCTCCAGCWCCTGGTTTGTTCATGTCCAGCATCACCTTTCGATCAGCTCCTCTTTCCTGTTCTCTYTGCGCTGTAGATTTATTTTGTACCATAAGTTTGCCTGTAGYAGGATCGAACACCATAGYCTCGCTGTTAYCAGGAYTTTCCATAAAWTTYKCAATTTTTTCTCGTTGAGAACTCATTTTGCTTGTCTTTTCTGTTGAAGTTTCACTCCCTTGTACCTTGATCTTAAACGGATTTCTAAGAAATCGGGGTATTTCCCTTCAATGTCCCCGTGACTGCATGGCGTGATTCKTGGAAATTCAGTGTAATGAATATTCAAACACCTTCCATGCATCCGTTCAGTTTATGATGTAATTTGCATGAAAGAAAGGTGGATAATATATCTGACATATTCTAAAAACTGTTTCTAAGAGCAATTTCTACGTAGGCGTTTTAAAAAAAAATTTCCTTTTGTGTGCAATATACGTGAGAAAATGCCCAAAATTTATATTTAATAATATAGTTAAGATATCTCATATCTATTATGTCAGGACAAGTAAAAAAGGCTTATATTAGTCGTCAAACAAACAGGCTTCATATTCTTTGCAGATAATACCGATAAAGTCAGATAGTAGAAAGTCACGGATAATTCTGGCCTCTTGGTGACCACTGGTGACGTCGACGGATTGTATTTATTCTGCTCTCGGCCCCCTTCTCTTTAAATAATATTCACTACAAGATTCTCAGTTACTATTGCATTATCTTTATTAAAATATCCTAAATAATCCTTCGTTACGTTAGACGTACCGGCGTCACTACTTTGTTTTACTGAYGATGCACGTTTTAAAAGCTAAATCGTATTTAATTGAAAATTACATGCCATCGGTCAATGACGAAAATACTGACATTAAAAAATTCCTCCAGTTCCTCGTTGGTTCAAATACTAATTTTTAGCACTAAATAGTGATAATTAAACAATAGAAAACAAAGGATTCTGTATGAAATAGTACTATTTAGTACTATTTAATTTTCACGGTTTTAGTGCGTGCACGGTGTGCGATTTCATACTAGCTTAATTGTCCGTTCACTGAAAATTACATGCCATCGGTTAATGTCCAGAAAACTGACATTAAAAAAATCCTCCAGTTCCTCTTTTGTTCATGTCGACCTTTACTTGTCTGTCCCTTTTAGTTTGACCAGTTTCTTTCTCTACTTTTAAACATTTCTTTTTCTTGTCGAACGAAAAGCGTTTGTCTTGTGAATGGCCTCTCAACTGTTGTTCTATTTCCTTCCCTTCTCTTTCCTGTTGTTCTTTCTTCGGTACGAGAGGGCCGGAGGCTGGATCGAAATCAAACTCCTGGCCTTCCTTGTAAGCTTGTTCCGAAGTTGAAGTAAAACCATCTCGGTACATTGATGTGTTTGGAAAGAGTTTCGATGCGTCATATTCAAGTTCTACGCCAGCTTTGTAAAGCTGTTCAGATGACTTAGCAGAAATACCATTTTCGCTAGATTTTTCTAAAAGTTTTGCTTGAGTGGGATCGAAGTCAAACCGATCCATATTTTCATTTCCACAACTGCCCATATTGTCAGTGTTTATAGGCTTTCTGTGTATCTTCGAAGACCAAATAGTACTATATGTACCGCTTTTTTTGCGCTTACGATTACGATTGCTTTTTAGACTTTAGTGCTCTCTTCCGTTGGCTGGTGAATAAGCAGTATTCAGTGCTAATCTTACTTATTCAAAAMGTAGCCTTATATAATGACTTTGGATAATTTCCCTTAGCTTAGCATTATTTTGATATTGAATGTTATCCAATAAGAAAAGAATGCCCTCGACCTCCGTGCGGTTTGCATCCAGTAGACGGGGATTCCCCCGTTTTTTCTTGAATTAAATAAACCACGTCAAACCAATACAAGCTCCTGTCAAACGATGGGGAAAAACACTGTTTTGATAAATGATCTATAATTCCATYCCCATAAGCTCAATATTCAGCATTTTGTTCGTGTAAAAAACCGAAAAGCGTGCTCAAACGACGACAGCAAAAGCACATAGAACGCTCTTTCTATAATTTCTAATAATTACATGTGTTCATACTTTGACCAAAGATTGCTTTCCACCTGTTGTTTTAAAAAAAGCCTAAATAGAAATATAGTCCCATGCCAAATTTGAGGGTTTTTCCGTGTTCAAGTTCAAAAAGTGTACGGTTCCTAAATAAAATTTTAAACGGTTATTCAGCCTTTGTGCACTCAAAAACCGCTGCATAAATGTTTTTATAAAGTATTCTATTTCGCCCTGTGATATGGAAAGTGTTATCACCATTTTGTCTTTCTTAGTTTCTTCGCCATGAACTTAACCCAGTCTTTCATCTTTGTACGTTTTAAATTTGTAAGTCGCTAGCTTTGCCATAGAAATGAYAAACTAAAAATGTCCACCAGCTACTTTCTCGACTGAATGCGTTCTGACTTATTTTTCTTGTCTTGACTTATCCTTAGCAAGTTTCAGCTTTCGAAGACTGATTTACACAGACCAATGGTGTAGTTAACTTTCACACTTAAAGATACCTAAAATATCTTCACATGCGAAGATATCAGCAATATATTAGTAATAGACAAACATAGATATTTCCTTTAAAATGGGTTTTAAAATGCGATATTTTAATCACGCTCTTGGTGAAGCCGACAGATTGCAATGTGTATGTATGTATTCTGGGCCCCTTCTCTTTAAATAATATTCAAGATTCTCATGAGCAGTTACTATTTCATTGTTTTTATTAAAATTTACTTAGTATTACAATGATAAATGCACTTTATGACGTGTCCTTTTTTCCATTATATGCAGTATATCTCCTTATTAGATGTCTTCTGATTACCGACAATGATGGCAAATATAATTTCTATCCTTTTCTAATTATCTTGACAAGCATATGCACAAAATTATTCGTTTGTTCGCGTTACCCTTTGCATTTTTCGGTGATGGATATTCTTTCCTCCG